TCTCCGTGCAAGAAGGCATTTCGCCAAGCAATCGGTTACAAATTATCCCGTAACGCTGCATGATGGAATTTGAATTACTCCTAACAAATAAATCCTGACCGTGAGGAAGATCAAGGAAGTCTGCAGAATTCAGTTATAGGGTGTGGGCGTGCGGCTGTGCATGCACATACATATGAGGATCTGGATATGTAAATCTGCTGCGCAGCGACGGCAGGGAGCGGTGATTTCATTTAAGCTGCGCCTTCTGACGGCGATGGAATTTCATGCACTCACCACCATAGGGAGGACGGAGCGGAGAGAGGAGTTCAGCAAACCGCTCACCACGTTGGTGAGAAGCCTGGAGGGAGCAGAAGGCGGGGATGGAGCTGTCAGTGCCTGTTCTCAGAAGGCAGACAGGGCTGAAATGCTGCGCTGGGGCTGATGCTGGGAGCTTCCACACCCCCCTCCCTCCCTACAACAGCAAAGGATGCTGCGAGCCCACAGCTCCCCCAGGCTTCGACAGGAGCTATCGGCACTCCGGGCTCTTTGTATCTGCTCAGCATCATCTGACCCTTAACATCTAAATCTGTACCCACTGCAAACATTCCACAGCTCACCCATAGCAAAGGGCTGACCCATGGCACAGAGCTGACCCACACCTCATCCTGCCCATTATTTTAACTATTTCCATGTGCACATCACAGCATCCCATCTCCTTATACAGATTCCTCAGAAAAGTGGCTTTTCTGTGAGCAGAACCCCCACGGTCGCCAGATGGCTGAACCTCCACCTCCCATTCACCCTTCCCACTGCCCATGGAACCATCCTGCCCTGAGGAGCATGGGCAGCTCCGGCCGAGCCCATTATGAAGGAGGGAGAGCCCTGTGTGTCTGTCCTCACAGATCACCCTGGGGATTCCAACTGAGAAGCTGCACAGCACCATGAAACAGCACAGCACCTGTGAATGTGGCACTCACCCCTTCCGCAGGGTGACCTTAAAGCCTCCGAGCAGGTTCCTGCAATCCTTCATCACCAGCCTGAGGTCACCGGGGCTGTCTTGTGTCAGCGCAATGTGGGACGTGATGTTCGTTTCCAGCAAAGATCCGCTCAGAAAGAGAAATATTCTGTAAAGTGAGGAGAGAGCCACTGCGGCTCTGAAGGCGATGGAAGAGACCAAAGCCCAGCGAAGCTGCAGATCTGAAATCACTGCAGATCTATTTGATGCACAGCTCCCTAAAAAATAATGTCTGCAGACACTTCTGCAGCCCCTGTCCCCCCACTGTGTCCCACTCACCCCGGCAGGCTGATCTTCAGCCTCGAATACAGGTTCAGAACCAGCTCGCCCCCAGGCAGCACCTTCCATGACACTCGGGCTCTCTCCAGGTTCAGTACCTTCAGCCTGCCGGGAAGCAAAGCCCGTGAGCTGGGAGCCAGGCACAAGTCCTGCAGCCCCTGGACAAGTTCCCTGTGTGGCTATTCCCAGTTGAAATGTGCAAGGGTGGGAAAGGGGCACTGTGGTGTCAAACCCCCAGGCTCACATGAGTTGTCACTAGGTCACAAAGTCAGTGCAGGGACCAAAGCTCTGCTGTGAGCATGACTGTTGTGCATCTGCTCCCACTCACCAGGCAAAGCGCTGCGATGGCTGAGGGACAGCAGCACTGCTCCCTCCTTGTCCCAGCAGTTCTCCAAGCCCTCCTTGTCCCAGCAGTCCTTCTTGCCCCAGGAGCCCATCCAGCCCAAGCAGACTTCCATTGCCTCCTTGGCCGAGCAGCCCCGTGCCGAGCAGCCCCTTCTCTCCAAGGACACCACTGCCAAGGAGTCCTTCCCCACCGAGGAGCCCCGCACCAAGCAGACCGCTGCCACCAGGCTGTCCTCCTGCAATAGTCAGACTGTGTCACTGTGCCAAATTGGCTGCCAGGAGCCCTCCTCCCCCAAGAGTATGCACACTGCAGATCTGCCTCACCCAGCAGCCCTGTGCCAAGGAGCCCCGTGCTCTGGGGTTCACCTTCAGTGCCTTCGCTGCCATCCGTGCTCGGGCTCTTCCTGCCCAGGAGCCCAGTGCCCAGCAGCCCACCTTCCCCAAGGAGGCCGGTGCCCAGCAGACCTCCTGCAGCAAGCAATCCCAGTTACCAAGGAGACTTTCACTGCTGGGAAGAATTTCATTGAAGAGGTAATTTGTTTCAGGGACTCTATGAGCAGGAGGACCCATCTCCCTTGTGCAGGAATATCCACCCCAGGTGAAGCTGATGTCCTGCATCAGACAAAGCTGTACCTCTGGCAGGTCTGTGCTAGGCACCTCACTGCTGACAGCACCACCACTGCCAGCCATGGGCTCGTGCTGCTCATCAGTTAGTGAGCAAATACACCATCCCACCTCATCCTCCATCCTACCGGGGCTCATGCTGCTGGAGTAGTTCTGGCCATTCGTTCTGACCGTGTAGGATGGCACATCTATCCTTATCTAAAGCCCTTTTACAAATGGGGTGAGCCCTGCCAGCAGCCCAATGTGGGCAGTTTGGTGTTGCCAGGGCCCCACAGCCTCCAAAGCCAAAGGTGTCATCATCAGCTCCGTGGGAGATCCTCTGGGCGTGGGTGGCTCAAGAGAGGAAAGAGGGATCAATGCTCTGTGCTGGGCTCTTTGTCCTCCAGAAGGGGAGACCCCAGGGCACTTGCTGGGGGTGGGCAGAGCCCCATGCATGGTTCCCCCCCCAGCAGCCACCCCCAGGGTCTCCCCCAGCTGCTGAAACATGGAGATGCAGCACCAACATTTCATGACACAACACACACCGGCACCGCAGGGACAGAACCCTGAGCTCACCATTCGAAGGCTGTGCAGGGCTGGAGCCCAGGATGCTCCCCAAGCTGAGAAGCCCCCAGCAGGGGGGTAGGAGGACTCCAAGAAGGGTGAGACACCACAGCGTCCACATCTCCATCCCAGTACCTGCCAAGAGACTGCGTCACCGAGACGTGGCCCTGTGTGCCCATCGCTCCACACCCCCAGCACCAGGGACTGCCATGCTCCCATCCCACTGCTGTCAGATGGTTCCCGAAGCAGGGACATCTCACACCAGGGATCATCCCCATGCCTGGCACAGAGCATCCACGCAGGGAGGCTGCAGGGAGAGGAACGGCGCTGTGGAATGAGCAGGAGAAGAGGCGGAGGACCTTGGAGCGAGGAGATGGATTGCTTCAACCTGCTCCGGAACGGCCCTGAAATGAGAGCAGTTAAAGGGGCACAGCCAGATAAAAAATGGTACGTGTCAAAGCTGTGTCCTTCTGCGCCTCGTGAAGAGCACCTTGCGTTATTAAAGCTCAAAGCGCAGCCAAAATCAGCTTCACTTCCCCGTGGCCAGGTTGTTTGTTTTTCCCACTTTGCTCCACTCATCCTTTACGCGCCCGTTCTGCCATGTCAGAGCTGCCCATGTCCCCGTGGGTCACCCAGTGGGACCTCCCTGTGCCACTCCTGAGGCTGCCACGCTGTGGTTGCTGAGGAGGAAGAAAGGTGTCAGTGAACCAGTGCTGTGGTCTCCATTCCACCACCACCCACCTTTGTCCCAGCAGCGTCTCCTCGGTGAAAGACAGCATTGGATCTGCATATTGCAGCGCATCAGCACTGAGAAATAATGTTATTTAGGTCACTCAGAACAACTTCTTTACCTGATCCAGATACGTTTTAACAATCCCTCTATGACAGTTCTTGGCACAATTAAATCAGACTTTAATTCACCAGTCTGCCTTCTGCATTTCCCTTTGATCAGCACGTAATGATGCACCGCTCCTGCAGCTGAGATTATTGAGCAGAGGAGAAAGATAGAGGCTGGAGCTGCTTCGATTGAGAGCGGTGTCAAATAAAATCAGTGGGATTTGTCAGAGGGTCCCTGCAGGACGTGTGCAGCATGGTAAGAGGATGCCAGAACTGTTTCAGGTCTTTAAAAAGAGCTCTTAGAGAGAATGTGTGCGACAGCAGGGAAATATCCGTGCAGGTGTCAGCCGTGCCCACCTGGCTGGTGGCACTCACACCGGAGCGGAGCATCTCCCACGTGCAGAATGTTGGTACGGTTTAGCAGACAGCTGAGATTAGATTTGAGATGCTGAGGATTGTTCTGCATCCCGGGCAACAAGAACAATTAAAGAGCTCCGCTTATCTCTTCCAGCTCGGTCAGTGTAATAAACTTAACAGCACGAATATAAACGCGGGATTTGACAAGGAAGAGCTCTGCTGGCTTTAAAAATTAATTTTCATCAATGATTCAATGCTGCTGAAGAAATCAAAGGAAACGAACGCTGTTAGGGCTCATACACCCAGAGGTGCTGCCAGCACTGAGCGCCCGTGTCTGCACACAGCAGGAGGAAGGCTGCCCCTGGCAAGCACACTGTGCATGGCAGCTGAGAGGGGCTGATCAAAAGAGGTCGTTGCCAACCAGAGGGTGTGTGGGTTTGTCACTGCTTGGGGAGAACCAAGCGCTACCAGAGGTGAGCAGGAGGTGGCTGTGTCCCAAAGGGAGATCTGGGCGGTCTGGGGAGGTTTGAGAGGGAGCTAAGAAGGGAAAAAGAATGGGAAAGATGGCAGGAAAAGCCCATGCCAGCTCTGGGGGGTTCTCTGGGAGGACTGGGGCTGGCAGAGCACACAGGCTGGAAGGCAGCAGTGTGAGAGCAGTCCCAGTGTGCTCCCTGCAGCCCAGCAGTGCTCAGTGGCTTCCCCAGAAATGGGACAGTGCTGTAGGCAGGTGAGGAGGCTTTACACGGACCGGTTGGGATGAGGTCACATACATCATGTGTAACATGCCCACGTGAGAATGCAGAGCCCACTGCATCCTGCTGAGCATCTGCAAAAGGAAGAGTCCAGAACGCAACATTCAGAGGCAACGACCACCCGTGTTTCCTTCTGTATTCAAAGCTACAAAGGGCAGATGTGATGTTTCTATGGAGGAGCTGGTTTGCTTGCATTGGCGTGAAGGGAAGTGCTGGTGGGCAGCATCAGGCTGGGCTCCCATCCTAGGGGCAGCTGGGCAACGTGTGGCTCACGCTGACAGCACGAGGAGGTCCTGGTGGGGCAGAGGGCTCTGTGTGATGTGGGGCCTGGGGAGGAGGGGGGCTGCAGGGCTGTGCTCACCTCGATGACGTGGATGTCAGCGTTGGTGAAGTCGATGTTCAGCAGGCGTGGGAGCGGCACCCCGTGGCCCAGCACAGCTGTGGGACAGCAGCATGGTTAGCACAGCCCCGCCTGCCCCCCTCCTCCTGTGCCCCCCGACCAGCACTGTGTGCCTCAGTTCCCTGGAGGTAGATGAGGCACCAAAGCTTTCTCACCATTCAGGGCAGGCAGGAAGGCAGTATCGAAGACCTTGTTGATCAGCGTCTCCAGCAGTGAGATCTACAACAGGGAAAGGGGTCCCTTATGCCTCACCCCGTCCTTGGGGTGTAGGGACACTCCTTGCACACTGCTGCTCCCGCTCTACACCCAATTCATGCAAACTGCTTACAAACTGGAGGTGCAAACTGAGCAACGCACTCCCTGCACCATGCTAAATCTCCCTCGGCTCTGATACCAAACCCACAGTGATGCAGTGGTGCCACAACTGCTCTGGGGATCCCAACTTTGTTTGCGTGTGCCCCAACACCAAGTAGTGCCAGTGAGTGGCATGGTTCCCATGTCCCATTGCTATCTTTCACCACACAGATCTATGGCCTTTTTTTCCTAAAGATTGCTCATGGATCATCCATGGAGCAAACGCATCTGCAGAGGTGAAAGAAAGGTCCCATTAAAAATGCAGCACAAATGATACTGCATAATTGGCCCTTAATTCTCCCAGCCAATCCCTATGGGCACTTTGCTCTCTGCGGTCGATGTCACACGTTGCTGAGGCTGCTCGTGTTCTTACATCAAAATCTCCAATGGATGAAGACACCAAGGAGAGCTCAGTTCTGCAGAAGAAAGCAGAGGAAAAGTGAAGGGGGGAGGCCCATCCTACCATCACATCCCACCCCACACCAGCAGGAGCAAAGGCAGAGAGCAGCATCCTACTTCTCAAGGCCGGTGCTGATCTTCAGTTTGTTGGCCTCAACAGCAAACTGAGCCATCAAGGATGCATCCTGCAGCCAGGGGACAGGTGTGGGTTGGCCACGCAGGAGGCAGCTGCCCGCTGCTGCGCTCCAACACACGTTGGCACAGCTGCCCCTCTGTACGTACGATATTCAGAAGGCAGAGAAACTTCTGCACGTCAGCTGAGTGGATGGCCACCACCTCTGCTGTAACCTTGAGCTGGATGGCAGCTTTATCTTTCTTTAAGGTCACCACGGGTGCTTTGGGAACTGTGATTTTCAGCAGCAACTCGCACGGCTCAGGGTACGCCTTAAGAACCTGCAGCATCCGGGGGCAGAAAGCCTGTGGTGACCAGGCAGAGCAAGCAGATTGGGAGCAATAGAGTAAGGATGAGGCCAGGCTGCCTGTTGGGCAGTGTCTGCTGCTCTCAGGGATGGATTTGCTCCTGCGCTGCTTCAGCTCAAGGATGTTCACAGCTGAACTCAAGCCAGGTGGGAGCTCAGTCACCAGGATGCCCCAAACCTTGCTGGGAATGTCTGGTCTGCAATGTGGGGCTCTGCAAGGGACTTCGGTGACTGGGCAGGTGCAGGGGACAAGGTGACAAACCCAGCTATGGCCTGCTGTGGTTTCTGGCTTCGGAATAAAGTTAAAGCTCTTCCATCAGACACGTGAGATGATGAAGCGGGGGCTGCCCTGTCTCTGGGTGCTCCCCATACTGAGATGCTTGCAGTGTGTGGTGGAACCAGGACTCACCACAGGAACCAGGGCTCCAAGAGTCGACGTTGTCAGTGGTGGAAGCTCAGGAAACTGTCACAGACAAAAGGGGGAAACGTTGCATGGGTGCATGCTGGTTTTCAGCAGAGATCTCCTACACTGTCCGAGTGATACACAAAAACTACACGGCTCATCACTCCCACAGATCAGAGATCCTGATCAACAGTGACAAGGTGCAACAGCTTTGCAAATCGAGAGCAGTTTGCTGAAGACCTGAGCTTTCTCTGAAAGAGGAGGCAGTTCCAGTGCTCACCACGGTGTTGGAGATGTCCAGATCCAGGGCTCCTTCCTTCTGCAGGGCAGCCAGCACCGAGCTGAGGAAGTTCACAGATAGGCCCAGCTGGGAGGAGCTGGTGTCCGGCATCGGTGGCAGAGGCGGCATGGGGACCCGTGGAGGTATGGGGACACTTTCTGGTCTTCCCAGTGGGTAGTCGACCAGACCTCCTGCTACTCCTCCGACCACAGTCTGCAGTTACAGGGAAGGAAGCACGAGGCAAAAGGTTGCAGCGGTTTGCAATATTTGCCTTTACGGTTAACTTCATGTCCCATGGATGTGAAATCACCGCACGCACGCCCAAGTCAGATCCCATTGCATTTCCTTCTCCAGAATCTCATGAAATGTGAGCCTCGTGACGATAGCAGCGCAGGAGCAGGGCGTGGAGCCAGGACCTCTGCGATCCTCTCACAGCCCCCTCAGGTCTGACGTGTGTGACCACAAGCACAGCCCAGGAGATGTACCCAACCCCCTGAGACATCACAGAGCAGAAGGAGAAGCTGCAAGGACTTACATTCAGGTCTACCTCGAGGAACTGGCCGGTCACCAGTGGCAGGCTGGACACGGTGTACTGGATACTGCCCAGTAAGCCCAGTGGCACCAGTGCTGGTAGAAGGGATGTGGTTCAGTGGCTGCTGCAGCTCTGCAGCACAGAGCTCGCCCCAAGCAGGCTCTGCCTGGATCTGAAAGCTCCCTGCTGCTGGCAGAGGGGCTGCTGCATCACAGCCTCAATGCACCCAGTACGACTCAAGGGAAAGGCAGGGTGAGGGACTCCACTACTTACAGTTGACCAGCCCCAGCTGATCATTGACAAGTCCCAGGGCAACATCAAGTACTGGGCAGAGCTGTGGAGGGATGAGGAGAAGCTGCTTAGAGCTGGGCACAGCCCTACAGCCCCACATCAGGTGTACCAACTGGCTCTGGTTTGGCTGATGCAGAGCTGCACCATGAAGGTTTTTCCTTCCATCTTACCAGATTAGGCAGAAGCCTGTTTAGGACACTAGCCAATAAATTATCCACAATTGGGAGCAGGCTGTGGAAAAACAAAGGATCTCCATGAAAAAAAAAAAAAAAAAAAAGAAAGAAAAAAAAAAACCTGCTGCAAGGTAAATGAGTTTTAAACAATTCCCTGTGAAATGAGTGCAGAGCAGACCTCCTGGAGAAAGGCAATTGCAGCAGCAAAGTGCACTGTTATGCTTGGATTTTGCATGAGATAAGTCTAATTGGCATCCCAAAATAGCCAGTGGGAAATTTAGTGCTGCCTTTTATCTGCTGGTATATAGGCTCCTTAAATGAGCAGCAGCAGCCTCAGCCCGAGAGCTTTTTGTGCTTCACGTGACAAATGGTTACACCTCAGAGGACCCCTCGGGCGGAATGATCTCAAACACAGCACAAGGGACAGAAGCGTCCCTCCGAATGTCACGCACCCTCTCAGCAGTCTGACTTTAATGCCCCCGAGGAGCGTGTTGCATTTTTCCACCACCAGTTTGGGGTAGCCGCTGCCGTCCATGGTCAGCCGGACCTGCGAGGTGATGTTCACTTCCACAGCAATGTCCAGCAGACCCAGGAGGCTGTGAGGGGGAGCAGGAGCAGCTCAGCCCTCCATCCCCTGGCAACCAGGCTCGCAGGGCAGTGGGGCACAGCCAGACCCACCTTCTGCCATTGAGGGCCACCCGTGTGTAAAGGTTGAGGTGGAGGCCGATGCCGGGCAGGAGCCGTAGGGACACCCTGGGCAGAGTCAGCTCCACGATCCTCAGCCTGCGTGGACAGCAAGGGGACCCCATTTTCTCAGCTGTTTTCCTGTTTTATCAGAATCTGTGCTCTGGCTGCCTTATGATTGCTTGTCTTTGTGCTTCTGCTGGGCTTCAAGAGTTAAAGCAGGAAATCTGCCGACAGCCCAGCAGCGGGTTGGAAGCGATGCTGATGCACGGCTCTGAGCTCCCCCTATGGGAAGCAACTCCAGGCTCCAAACCCTTGCACCTCTGAGAGGTCCTTATGCAGCCTCAGTGCCAACCCAGGGGCGTCGCAGGCAGCACCAACACTGGACCATCACCACCCGACCACACCTGAGCTTCTGCACCCAACAGCACTCAGAGCTCTGCCAGGAGCCGCACTTACCCCGTGAGCCCCTGCACTGTGCTGAGCAGGCCTCCGTCCCCAAGGACACCCAGCAAACCTCCTCCGAGGAGCCCAGCTGAGCCGGAGGGGTCTCCATCACCCAGCAGAGCCCCCTGCCCCTCTGCTGCACCCGGCACATCCGCAGGAAGGGACCCCCTGGGGACAGACCAGCTTCTGGGAGGGGGACGGCTGCGGGAGGCCACCCAGGAAGCATCCCCATTGCCACGGAGACCACCGCCTGCATCACGTCCTCCACCAAGGAGATCAGCACCAGCACCATCACCTCCACCCAGCAGGCCACCCGTCAGTCCCCCAAGCAGCCCCCCACTGCCCGTCAGCCCCCCCAGCAGCCCTCCACCACCCAGCAGGCTGCCAAGCAGCCCCCCGCCACCCAGCAGGCCCCCTCCATGGCCGTCCTGCAGTGCTCTGCTTCCATCCATCCCGCTGATGGGCAGATCTCCGAGGGCTCCTTGCAGGACTGCTCCGCGTTGCAGGGAACCTGCAAGAGCTGGAGAGCCATACTGGGATGAGCACATGGGGTCTTGGTGTGGGTCATGGAGAGGTTTGTGCTCTCCATCCTGGTCACTGCCTGCATCAGTCCCTGCCTGTACTGTGATATTTGTGCCCAGCCCAGGAAAAGGGCTCAGGTACCATGTAGATACTGGGGCAGGAGCACAGTGCCCAGGGGAATGTGGAGGTGGGACAGCGAGGGGCCTGGCATAGTGAAGAGCCTGACATGGTAGCAAACACTTAGGCAAAGGGCTCACATCTCTGCAGAGGAGCAGCCCCCAGGAGGTGCAGCCCCTAGAGAAGCAGCATCACTGCTTTGTCCCTCTCAAATGGGAGTAATTCTGGAAGCCTGGCTACTTGAAATTTCCAAAAGAAAGAGTCAGGATTCAATCTGAGGAGAAAGTATGCATGCAACCTCCTTCACCCCAATGCCAACTCCTTCCCTGTCCAGCCTCGCTGGGCTGCACAGCACCTCAGACCAAGGATCCTGCTATCACACTCACCATCGCTCAGAACACCTTTGTTGAGGCGGAGAACAGCATCTGTTGGCAGCTGGCTCAGGGCTGGGGACAGCAGGGCACAGAGCACAGCGATGCTCAGAGCTGTCAGCATGGTGTCCTCTGGTGTGGCAGGATGGGGATGCAGGGGACAGCTCGCACTGCTGGCACCGAGACACCAACAGCAACCTGGGGAGGAAAACTGGGAGGAGAGGAACCCCTGAGGGGTTCTGAGCAAGGCACACATTTTTCAGTGAATAGCAAATCTTTAGGAGAACCAAAAGCCTTCGTGTGTTTGAGCCCCATACAGCAAACAGATTTGGATACACGTGAAAAAGGGTATAAAGAGGGAGGGCCCCCATAGGCATGTCTGCAGGCAGGATTGCTGCACAGCCACAACACCTGTGTGCTTGCTGCCATTCACACGCAGCCAAGCAACTCACTCCTTTCCATCTCCGGTCGCTGTGACACGAGTTTAAACTTGCTGTTCAAAATCATTACCCATAACCCAGAGATTGCTCTGAGCTTCCCCTGCTGACCCCCACTCCATGTGCAAACTCATTGCACTGCAATACAGCCTTTCAGCTCTACTTCGTATCCTCTTGTCTGAGTTTTCAGCTGAACCAGAATCACTTACCTACATTTCTGCCATGACTGGTAGCTTCCCCATGTTTGTGTTGTTTTTCTCACTCATCAGAGCACAGCATAAGGCAAGTGGTAAAGATCTGCACCCCAGCTGCACCACTGTTACCTGGCCCTATCCTGTCTCCACTCCTGGCCTGTGGGGGACCTTGTAGCTCAGCCACCTGTCACCTCCTCCCTATGAGGAACAGGGGGGTTCTTATATAGCAAAACTGATGCAGGGATGCCTAGAGTTACATAAAGGTGGACTGGTGGGTTGTGCCCATCCAGAAGCATTTGCGGTTTTCCTATATTCCAGTATAAGCAAGGATTTGTGCACTGGGGCTGAGTATTGTGCAATAGGTCACTGGATCCCCCCTTATCGGCAGTGCTGTTTGCCAAGAGCTCAGAGGAAGGGACGAAATCCCTGAACCTCAGGAGCACAAAGCTGCCACCAGGCCCACAGGAGATGCTGGAAAACCATCCCGTTCCATGGCTGTGTGGGCACATTCAGCCAACATCTGCACCAGGATACAGGCACAAACCATGCACACCTGTGGGTGATTTTTCAAGCCCTGCCCAGCTTTCCAGCAGGCACATGGATAGGAGCCAGACAAGCCCTGGGAGACATTTCAGCTCCTTTATTGCTCAACCTGAGAAGCAGCTCCCCAGGATTACCCTCCCAACCCGTGCAGCTGCCCCAACCCTGAACGCATTTCTGCAGCCACAGGAAAGCCCTGAGAAGCACGGATTGGGTGTCAGCCCACAGATCACAGGAGTTCTTTTGTCCTGGTGCCTTGGAAGGCTAATGCCTTCCCAAGATAAAATACATTGCTCAGAGCCCAGCTAAAGCTACCCAGTGTATCTTACGTAACGGTGGCAAAATACATCCAGAAACAAAAGCAATGGGAACGCAGAGCTCAGCTCGTGTCCGGCTCCAAAGACAAGGGAGCCTTTGTGAGTGGTGCTCCTTCCCAGCCCACCTGCTCTGCTCCTATTCTGCCATCAAGGTTCAAGCCCTGTTCCCCGCCTCTGCTCACAGCCCCGAGCTTCAGGAACGTGCTCCCCAAGGTGCCAGCTTACCAAACTCTTTGCCATGGGTAAGGCCCCCACTTCAAACCACTTTGCTTTTCCTTGGCCGTATGGCGCAGGACACTGCAGAGATTAATGGGCTCTGGCAGCTGGAGACACATCCAATGAATATTCAGGAAGAAATATTGACGCAGTGAAGGATTTTATTGAAAGAGCAATTTGAGAGCAACGCTGATGCCTAAACAACAGCTGCGATTCCAGACTTTGGGTGTTAGAATTGGCCACAAAAAGTCCCCCCTGACATCCAGCAGCTGAGCAGCGTCTCCATACCGCAGTTTGGGCTGCAACAGGATGGACAGAGCAGAAGCAGCCCTCTGTCTGGGGCCGCGGTGATAACCTGAAATGGTGCTCAGGAGAAAATAAAAACAAAGCAATTGGGGATGGCCAGGGCTCTGTGGGGAATCGTCTGTCTCACCCCAGGAGTGAAGTGGAGGCTCCTCTGGTATGAGCTGGTTTCAGAGCTCTCTGCTCTGGTTGATCACAAAAGTGTTCTGCCAGGAAGAAGGACAAAAATGACTCAGTTTTCTCCCTTGGGTTTCCCCAGCTCTTGTCTACATCTGACCAGTGCATCTTTGCACAGAGTAGGAGGAACAGCAGCTCCTCAGGATGGGGCCAGCACAAATGTGAGTCTTACGTCAGCCACGTCCACCTGGCCGTTCTCGAAGTTGGTGTTGAGGATGTTGGGCAGCGGGATCCCCATACCCACAGCATCTGCAAGGCCAAGAGAGCAGCTCATCAGAGATGAAACCCCAGAAGTGCCAGCTGGGGAGGGGGCTACGGGCTGGGCATGGAAAGGGGGTTCACCCCTGCCGTACTGTTGATGGCAGGCACATATGCAGCTGCAAGGATGTCCTTCACCCATCCTTCCAGTTGGGAGACCTGTGGTGGGAGGAGGTATGAGTTAGTGCCAGAGTGGCGGTGCTGGGGAGAGCTGAGCTCTGCGCCCTGTACTTACATTGATGGAGCCGAGCTGCGAGGATGCCAGTCTGAGATTTATTCTGCAAAAGATAAAAACAAGGAGGAGTGCCACCGGAACGGCTGCCACTGAGTGCTCTGAGCAGTGCTCACACCCCTTTCAGTCCAGAATTTTTTCTAACCACACAAAGGTAGAGTTAAAACAAATCAAGTTCTTCAAAAGACTCTCCTGACTTCAGGCGAGCTCTTCATCTGGGGCAGCTCTGAGCTCTTCACACCCACATCACAGCCCCATTACCCATGCTCAGACACAGCCTCTGTGCCCCCAGCAGGGCTCTACCTGTCCACAGCCAGAGCGGTGTGCAGACGGCCGCCAGAGACAGACGGGGTGATGTCCAGAACGATGTCCTGCCATTGTGACAATAGAAGAAAAGGAGTTATTTCCTCCCAGAGAAAAGCCGGAATATTTGGAAGTAACTCAGGCCGTGAAAAACACACCTGTCTGTGCTTAGAAATAACATTTTTTGGACAGGTGGCATCACAGATATCCCTCCCACGGAATTATTATTATTGGGGAATTATTCCCCAAAAGTTTCACCTGTGTGGTTATGGGCACAACTGTGGGACCGGGCAGCGCATTCCCAACGTGCAGGGGAGGCAGAGGCTCAGGGCACTCACCGAGTCCAGGCTGAAGAGGGTCTGCGGGGGGAAGCCGGGGCGTTGTGCAAGGACATCGATGGCTGCTCGCAGAGTGGCAGTGGCCTTCCCGTCCCTCAGGGCCACCACAGGTGTGTCAGCCAGGCGCACACGCAGTGCCAGCGGCAGCGACCCGGGCAATACGGTGCTGAGCTGGAGGGAGAGATGCCATCAGAGCCTTGGCACGGCTGGGATTTGGGCTTCAGAAACACAAACATCACTGATACTACAAAGGGGGCTGACCTGGGGGAAGGCTGAGAGCAGGGCTGAGGTGGTCAGCGGGATGCTGTTGGGCACCTGTAGGAGCGGTGATGGGGTCAGTCCAGGCAGGGGGCGGTGGGAGCACCCCTGATCCCAGCCCCAACCCACCGCCGAGCTGGAGATGTCCATGCTGAAGGCTCCCTGCCGCTGTGCCAATGCCAGCACAGCACTCAGCACGCCCTGCGACAGCCCCAGCTGTGTCCCAGGACCCGCGGCCGGAGGCAGAGTGACAGGCACTGACAGACCTCCTGCTGGCTCCACCACATTGCCCTCTGCATCCCTGAGGAGAAGCTGCAGGGACAGAGCAGAGCAGGAGGTTGACATGAGCTGTGCCACCCATGTCATTAATCAGCACCCCAATAATCAATGCACTGCTGGTTTCTTCTGCTTTGGCACAGGCAGTGATTGCATTCGCTGCAGCTCTCTGTGTAAAGCGCTGTGATCAGTAAGAGACACTGACAATCCTTCTTGTGCAATTATAATCCCCATTAATTACACACCCAACTTTTACAAACCACTTACAAATGGAACCTTTGCATAAATGGCGACCCATTGCTCTTGTACAAAACGCTAACACGGGGCTTTTCTAATGAATGACACTGTGAGTGCTGCAATCACACTTAATTAGCCAGCGTCCAGCCGGTCTGACTCATGCTGCCCTCAAGGATTAGCAAATATGGAACAGACACAGACCCTGCAGTGGCAGGAGCACCGAGCTGGCTGGGCTGTGCTGCACTGTGAACACCCTGCCATAGAGCTGGGGACCAGCACTCCTCCACAAGCAGCCACCCCATGGAGGTCAGTTACCCAAACCCAAAAACTCAAAGGCAGCACTTACGTTCAGATCC